TTATTACCCAATAGTCTATATAAATTATAATTAGTCATTTTTGACTGTTTCTGGCCTTTTGTCCAATTTCGGCTGTAGGGGTGAAACAGTCAAAACTGTTTTCCCGGTCAGAGCGAACTGTTACCCGGCGCGAATTCGATGCGCAGAAATCCCCCCTCGAGAGCCCCGTTCAAGCGTTTCGGTGACCGCGACTCAGTGTTGAAGCAATGGCAACATTGCATGCAGCATTGATACTAATATGTATTTGGTAATAAAACAATTGTGTCATGGCTATTTGGGGAACAGTCAAAACTATCATCCCTCGGTAGGGGGAATCCCTGTGGAACTGTTTGCCCTTGGCCTAGCGGCCTTGGGCAAACAGTTCCCCAGGGCTTCCCCCTACCTCGGGATGATAGTTTTGACTGTTCCCCAAATAGCCATGAAACAATTGTATACTGTTACTGTTAGGGTTCTGTCACTGTTACAGTCACTGTTACTCAGGGCTTCCCCCTACCTCGGGATGATAGTTTTTGTCACTGTAACTGTCAGGGTGTGTCAGGATAACTATCACTGTTACTGTCAGGGTTACTGTCAGTATAACTGTCACTGTTACTGTCAGTGTGTGTCATGATAACTATCACTGTTACTGTCACTGTTACTGTCAGTATTAATGTCACTGTTACTGTCAGGTAGTGTCAGGATAACTATCACTGTTACTGTTAGGGTTCTGTCACTGTTACTGTCACTGTTAATGTCAGGGTGTGTCAGGATAACTATCACTGTTACTATCAGTGGTCTGTCACTGTTACTGTGAGGGTATGTCAGAATACCTATCACTGTTACTGTCAGTATTACTGTCACTGTAACAGTCAGTGTGTGTCAGGATAACTATCACTGTTACTATCACTGTTACTGTCAGGGTTACTGTCAGTATTACTGTCACTGTAACTGTCAGGGTGTGACAGGATAACTTTCACTGTTACTGTCAGTGTTCTGTCACTGTTACTGTGAGGGTATGTCAGAATACCTATCACTGTTACTATCAGGGTTACTGTCAAGGTAACTGCCAGGGTTACTGTCACTGTTACTTTCAGGGTATGTCAGTGTAACTATCATTGTTACCTGACTCGCTATATAAATGCATATTAATCAATTTACCAAACGAACTATAGCTAATGTTTGCTACCGTAAAACTGTTGACTGGTCATCGTAAAACTGTTGACTGGTCATCGTAAAACTGTTGACTGGTCACGTGAAACTGTTGACTGGTCACGTGTTAGGTAATCGAACGCACCTATAATTACAAGCACCCCGATGATCATGTGTTTTCGGTACTGGATTGTTGACGGTCGTATGTCGGTAGATCTAAACATCACATTTGACATGGAACTTTTTGTTTTTCATTGGTCAAGTAACAAAACAGTTATTTCATGCCTGCGGCCTCGGGAAACAGTTCATCTGGTGGGTCCCAACTCCTCGGGAAAATAGTTTTGACTGTCGACTGATAAGGCATGATACAACTGTATACTGTTACTGTCAGGGTTACTGCCAGGGTTACTGTCAGGGTTACTGCCAGGGTTACTGTCACTGTTACTGTCAGGGTTACTGTCAGGGTTACTGTCAGGGTTACTGTCAGGGTTACTGTCAGGGTTACTGTCAGGGTTACTGTCAGGGTTACTGTCAGGGTTACTGTCAGGGTTACTGTCAGGGTTACTGTCAGGGTTACTGTCAGGGTTACTGTCAGGGTTACTGTCAGGGTTACTGTCAGGGTTACTGTCAGGGTTACTGTCAGGGTTACTGTCAGGGTTACTGTCAGGGTTACTGTCAGGGTTACTGTCAGGGTTACTGTCAGGGTTACTGTCAGGGTTACTGCCAGGGTTACTGTCAGGGTTACTGTCAGGGTTACTGCCAGGGTTACTGTCAGGGTTACTGCCAGGGTTACTGCCAGGGTTACTGTCAGGGTTACTGCCAGGGTTACTGTCAGGGTTACTGCCAGGGTTACTGCCAGGGTTACTGTCAGGGTTACTGCCAGGGTTACTGTCAGGGTTACTGCCAGGGTTACTGCCAGGGTTACTGTCAGGGTTACTGCCAGGGTTACTGTCAGGGTTACTGCCAGGGTTACTGCCAGGGTTACTGTCAGGGTTACTGCCAGGGTTACTGTCAGGGTTACTGCCAGGGTTACTGCCAGGGTTACTGTCAGGGTTACTGCCAGGGTTACTGTCAGGGTTACTGCCAGGGTTACTGCCAGGGTTACTGTCAGGGTTACTGCCAGGGTTACTGTCAGGGTTACTGCCAGGGTTACTGCCAGGGTTACTGTCAGGGTTACTGCCAGGGTTACTGTCAGGGTTACTGCCAGGGTTACTGCCAGGGTTACTGTCAGGGTTACTGCCAGGGTTACTGTCAGGGTTACTGCCAGGGTTACTGCCAGGGTTACTGTCAGGGTTACTGCCAGGGTTACTGTCAGGGTTACTGCCAGGGTTACTGTCACGGAAATCGTGATATATAAATATATTCGTTTGTTTTGATCCAGTTCTTAAATTGGATCAAACTTCCTGTGTTGCACTTAAACATTATATAAAGTATGTGTTGATATATTTTGTTGAAATACACTAAAAATCGCGTTAAAAAGAATCATCATAGTCTGTTCTAGAACACAGAAGACGTTTTAAACACACTAGTAACCAACAAATCGCTAAACCTCCGAGTCTGTGTACTATTTATAAGTAAGAGTAATCTCTGTTGCTTGAAATATCGGTGTTGTGAGTCGAGGGATGTGTCAATACCTGATTTACCATTGCCATCGAGAACCTTGTTACGGTGACCTTTGCATTGCTAACTGTTTGTAGCGCCCTGCTTTACGTTGCCGTGAATCTACCTTTAGCTTACTACAGTGTATCTTTGAATGCTGTCCTGGGAAATCAAACGAAATGTTCCCAAAACTACCACGATTTGTATGTCTTCTGATGTCACGTGTTACAAAGATTTAGATTAGGCCAATACTACTACCGACTCTAACATGGGCTGTGTTGTAACATCAATTTTCATTGGTTACTATAGTCATGTAGTATCGAGAAATTCATTACTCTTTTATTTTTAAATATTGCATGGTTGAAGCCTAACTTATTTGATAAGCATATATATGCGGCAGTAAAATCTACCTCTAGGAACTATCAAACCAGCATTGCCTTCCGTCCATACACACGTAATATCGATTCGTTTTTCCTAAACGTGTTGAAGGTGGTTTAAAGCTTCATAATGGTTATTTCTACTGTACAGATTTCGTTTTCGTTGATATAGTGGCAAACGATATTTCATGTCTATTGCGATGTTAATATCTTATCGCATCATACAGATTGAAATCGGCATCATCCAACAAAACCGTGACGTCAGTAAATGGTTTCAATAAGCGACAATAACGCATGTTTATTTTATATTTAGTATACAAGTATGGTGTTTCAAGCATTGGACAAGCTTTGGAATGATACATAATGTAACTGTACATATAATACAACAAATCAATATTTCTGACGGAATCAATTACAGCAGAAAACTGCATTAATCATTAGATAGATTAGATTAATGTCATTTATGTAAATAATAAAAAAAAAAAAATCGGGAACACTCGTGTAGATAACTATGTATGTAGTGTAAAAGCCAGGTTGCGGAAATTTTCAGGATTCAATGACTGCAGATGGAGCATACAGTCGTATTAAATAACAATGTTCCATGCTCCAGTGAAGACTTATATAGACAGATACATGAATGGGTAAGAAAACTTCATTAGATATTAAAACAAGAGACCCATCAGGCCTGTTCTACTCACCTGTTATCAAATGCTGAAGGTAAAAACATCTCACATCAGTGACCTTCATACAGGTCAAGGTCAAACCCATTCAAACAAACTTGATAGAAAGCTTGCAAACTAACATCATACAGGCTAAATATAAAAAAAAATCAGGTTTTACTAATCCATGATGGAAGACTATAGCGTATAACAGGTTATTTATGCAGACTTGAATTCTCGAGATTTTGACCCAAAATTAGAATATAAAATGTACACGGACTATAATTTCGCATTCTAAACATTGGAAACAAATATTTTTGCTTTAATAGCGGTTAGTCTGGTGTGTTTGTAGGCACCTCCGGTTAGTCTGGTGTGTCTGTATGTACCTCTGGTTAGTCTGGTGTGTCGGTATGTACATCCGGTTAGTCTTGTGTGTCTGTATGTACCTCTGGTAAGTCTGGTGTGTCTGTATGTACCTCTGGTTAGCCTGGTGTGTTTGTTGGCACCTCCGGTTAGTCTAGTTGGTCTGTATGTACCTCTGGTTAGTCTGGTGTGTCTGTGTGTACCTCTGGTCAGTCTGGTGTGTCTATGTGTACCTCTGGTTAGTCTGGTGTGTCTGTATGTACCTATGGTAAGTCTGGTGTGTCTGTATGTACCTCTGGTAAGTCTGGTGTGTCTGTATGTACCTCTGGTAAGTCTGGTGTATCTGTATGTACCTCTGGTTAGTCTGGTTTGTTTGTAGGCACCTCCGGTTAGTCTGGTGTGTCTGTATGTACCTCTGGTAAGTCTGGTGTGTCTGTATGTACCTCTGGTTAGTCTGGTGTGTCTGTATGTACCTCCCGGTTAGTCTGGTGTATCTCTATGTACCTCTGGTTAGTCTAATTCGTCTGTATCTACCTGTGGTTAGTCTGATATGCCTGTATGTACCTCTGGTTAGTCTGGTTAGTCTGTGTGTACCTCTGGTTAGTCTGGTTTGTCTGTATGTACCTTTGGTTAGTCTGGTTGGTCTGTATGTACCTCTGGTTAGTTTGGTGTGTCTGTATGTACCTCTGGTAAGTCTGGTGTGTTTGTATGTATCCCTGGTTAGTCTGGTGTGTCTGTATATACCTCCGGTTAGTCTGGTTGATCTGTATATACCTCTGGTTAATCTGGTTAGTTTGTATGTACCTCTGGTTAGTCTGGTGTGTTTGTATGTATCTCTGGTTAGTCTGGTGTGTTTGTATGTACCTCTGGTTAGTTTGGTGTGTCTGTATGTACCTCTGGTTAGTCTGGTTTGTCTGTATGTACCTTTGGTTAGTCTGGTGTGTCTGTATGTACCTGTTGTGAGTCTGGTGTGTCTGTTTGTACCTCTGGTTAGTCTGGTGTGTCTGTATATACCTCCGGTTAGTCTGGTTGGTCTGTATATACCTCTGGTTAGTCTGGTTAGTTTGTATGTACCTCTGGTTAGTCTGGTTAGTCTGTATGTACCTCTGGTTAGTCTGGTGTGTTTGTATGTACCTCCGGTAAGTCCGGTGTGTCTGTATGTACCTTTGGTTAGTCTGGTGTGTCTGTATGTACCTCTGGTTAGTCTGGTGTGTCTGTATGTACCTCTGGTTAGTCTGGTGTGTCTGTATATACCTCCGGTTAGTCTGGTTGGTCTGTATATACCTCTGGTTAGTCTGGTTAGTTTGTATGTACCTCTGGTTAGTCTGGTGTGTTTGTATTTACCTCCGGTAAGTCCGGTGTGTCTGTATGTCCCTTTGGTTAGTCTGGTGTGTCTGTATGTACCTGTTGTTAGTCTGGTGTGTCTGTTTGTACCTCTGGTTAGTCTGGTGTGTCTGTATGTACCTTTGGTTAGTCTGGTGTGTCTGTGTGTACCTCTGGTAGGTTTGATGTGTCTGTATGTACCTCAGGTTAGTCTGCTGTGTCTATATGCACCTCCAGTTAGTCTGGTGTGTCTGTTTGTACCTCTAGTTAGTCTGGTGTGTCTGTATGTACCTCCGGTTAGTCTGGTGTGTCTGTATGTACCTTTGGTTAGTCTGGTGTGTCTGTATGTACCTCTGGTTGGTGTGATGTGTCTGTATGTACCTCAGGTTAGTCTGGTGTGTCTATATGCACCTCCAGTTAGTCTGGTGTGTCTGTTTGTACCTCTAGTTAGTCTGGTGTGTCTGTATGTACCTCCGGTTAGTATGGTGTGTCTGTAAGTACCTCTGATTAGTCTGGTGCGTCTGTATGTACCTATGGTTAGTCTGGTGTGTATGTATGTACCTCTGGCTAGTCTGGTGTGTCTGTATGTACCTCCGGTTAGTCTGGTGTGTCTGTGTGCACCTCTGGTTAGTCTATTATGTCTGTATGTACCTCTGAGTAGTCTGGTGTGTTTGAAGGCGACCCCGGCTAGTCTGGTTTTTGTGAAAGCACCTCCATTTCACACCGGGCACCGTGACCGATATGGTACGGATAGCATCAGCATTTTCCTTTGAAAAAGTCCGTTTATACATGTTTTAAGACTGCGTTTTTACCAAGTAGGAAATATTACGATTAGACAAATATTCAATTATCACAATACCAAAGTATTGAAAATTATACCAAAAGGATGACCACACAGTGCCACACTTAATCTAACGAGTTATATGAATATATTTGATATGGAAAAAGTGTAGTTTTGGATACTCCAACCACATTAAATGAACCAAAGGACAAAATGGTTCCACATTAGACGTAGATGAAGTTTTATTTCATTAAAAATTGAAAGGTACATTTACTTAGTCTTGTATGTGCCCAGGCACCTCTGGGTATTCTCTGACATCTTAGGTTAGTGTGGCGTGACTTTTGACTCTTCCTGTTAGTGAGGCGTGTCTTTTGACGCTTCCTGTTAGTGTGGCGTGTCTTTTGACGCTTCATGTTAGTGTGGCGTGTCTTTTGACGATTCCTGTTAGTGTGGCGTATCTTTTGACTCTTCATCTTAGTCCGGCGTGTCCTTTGACGCTTCATGTTAGTGTGGCGTGTCTTTTGACGCTTCATGTTAGTGTGGCGTGTTTATTGACGCTTCCTGTTAGTGAGGAGTGTCTTTTGACGTTTCCTGTTAGTGTGGCGTGTCTTTTGACGCTTCCTGTTAGTGTGGCGTGTCTTTTGACGCTTCCTGTTAGTGTCGCGTGTCTTTTGACGCTTCATGTTAGTGTGGCGTGGCTTTTGACGCTTCCTGTTAGTGAGGCGTATCTTCTGACGCTTCATGTTAGTGTGGCGTGTCTTTTGACGCTTCATGTTAGTGTGGCGTGTCTTTTGGCGCTTCCTGTTAGTGTGGCGTATCTTTTGACGCTTCATGATAGTGTGGCGTATCTTTTGACGCTTCCTGTCAGTGAGGCGTGTCTTTTTACGCTTCCTGTTAGTGTGGCGTGTCTTTTGACGCTTCTTGTTAGTGTGGCGTGTCTTTTGACGCTTCATGTTAGTGTGACGTGTCTTTTGACGCTTCCTGTTAGTGAGGCGTATCTTTTGACGCTTCATGTTAGTGTGACGTGTCTTTTGACGCTTCATGTTAGTGTGGCGTGTCTTTTGACGCTTCCTGTTAGTGAGGCGCGTCTATTGACGCTTCATGTTAGTGTGGCGTGTCTTTTGACGCTTCCTGTTAGTGAGGCGTGTCTTTTGACGCTTCCTGTTAGTGTGGCGTGTCTTTTGACGCTTCATGATAGTGAGGGGTGTTCTTAGGCAGGTCGAGTTACTAGTAGTCTGGTGTAAACCAATACACCCTTGGTTAACCTGGTGTCTTTTTAGATATATCTGGCCAGACCTTGCACAGTAATAATGTGACTAGATAGGATTTGTTACCAACCCGTCAAAAGCGACATTGTTTTGTGAGAAGAAACAGTTACAAGATGCCTAAATGTGGATCTTTGTCATAATTAGATCATATCTCCTATGAAGAGTGTGATACTATGGACGGAACTAGGAACGAGATATAACACAGAGTATTTAATTTATATAAAATACAATAACATATGACTCTGCTACATTAGCTCCGTTTTAGAAATATGTTACATAACCAGTGTCTTAAACGGAATCTCAAACTCCAGTTACCATTTCCTCTCTGCCTAAATGAACTAGGAACTAGACCTAGGTTTCGTACAGTAGCCGTTCTTGTAAAACTTTCATTTTCTTCCTCCCAAAATGCATCAGTTGTTATTACAAGTATCCCATCAAATAAAGCCTCAGTGTAAGTTCCGTCCAAGAATCCTCCTTTTAGAGAGGCCATTGTAGCAGTATTTTTCTGAAATGTTGTCCTGTTTGGACACAGTCGCTATATGACCTTTAGCTGTTTCCGAGGCGTAGATACTTGACAATCAAACGAACGTATATATCTTACTTACAGAACGTATATATCTTACTTACAGGACGTATATATCTTACTTACAGAACGTATATATCTTACTTACAGGACGTATATATCTTACTTACAGGACGTATATATCTTACTTACATGACGTATATATCTTACTTACAGAAAGTATATATCTTACTTACAGGACGTATATATCTTACTTACAGGACGTATATATCTTAATTACAGGACGTATATATATTACTTACAGAACGTATATATCTTACTTACAGGACGTATATATCTTACTTACATGACGTATATATCTTACTTACAGAAAGTATATATCTTACTTACAGAACGTATATATCTTACTTACAGAACGTATATATCTTACTTACAAACAGGACGTATATAGCTTACTTACAGGACGTATATATCTTACTTACAGGACGAATATATCTTACTTACAGAACGTATATATCTCACTTACAGAACGTATATATCTTACTTACAGGACGTATATATCTTACTTACAGGACATATATATCTTACTTACAGAACGTATCTATCTTACTTACAGAACGTGTATATTTCTTACTTACAGAACGTATATATCTTACTTACAGAACGTATATATCTTCCTTACAGGACGTATATATCTTACTTACAGGACGTATATATCTTACTTACAGAACGTATATATCTAACTTACAGAACGTATATATCGTACTTACAGGATGTATATATATCTTACTTACAGGACGTATATATCTTACTTACAGGACGGGTCAAGGAAGTATATATCTTACTTACAGAACGTATATATCTTCCTTACAGGACTTATATATCTTACTTACAGGACGTATATATATTAATTAAAGGACGGGTCAAGGAAGTATATATCTTACTAACAGAACGTATATATCTTACTTACAGAGCGTATATATCTTACTTACAGAACGTAAATATCCTACTTACAGGACGTATATATCTTAATTACAGGACGGGTCAAGGAAGTATATATCTTACTTACATGACGTATATATCTTACTTACAGGACGGGTCAAGGAAGTATATATCTTACTTACATAACGTGTATATCTTACTTACAGGATGGATCAAGGAAGTATATATCTTACTTATATGACGTATATATCTTACTAACAGAACGTGTATATCTTACTTACAGAACGTATATATCTTACTTACAGGACGGGTCAAGGAAGTATATATCTTACTTACATAACGTATATATCTTACTTACAGGATGGATCAAGGAAGTATATATCTTACTTACATGACGTATATATCTTACTAACAGAACGTATAGATCTTACTTACAGAGCGTATATATCTTACTTACAGAACGTATATATCTTACTTACAGATCTTCCTTACAGAACGTATATATCTTACTTACAGGATGGCTCAAGGAAGTATATATCTTACTAACAGAACTTATATATCTTACTTATAGGACGTATATATCTTACTTACATAACGTATATATCTTACTTACAGGACGGGTCAAGGAAGTATATATCTTACTTACATGACGTATATATCTTACTAACAGAACGTATAGATCTTACTTACAGAGCGTATATATCTTACTTACAGAACGTATATATCTTACTTACAGATCTTCCTTACAGAACGTATATATCTTACTTACAGGATGGCTCAAGGAAGTATATATCTTACTAACAGAACTTATATATCTTACTTATAGGACGTATATATCTTACTTACATAACGTATATATCTTACTTACAGGACGGGTCAAGGAAGTATATATCTTACTTACATGACGTATATATCTTACTAACAGAACGTATAGATCTTACTTACAGAGCGTATATATCTTACTTACAGAACGTATATATCTTACTTACAGATCTTACTTACAGAACGTATATATCTTACTTACAGGACGGGTCAAGGAAGTATATATCTTACTTACAGAACGTATATATCTTACTTACAGGACGTATATATCTTACTTACAGGACGTATATATCTTACTTACAGGACGTATATATCTTACTTACAGGACGTATATATCTTACTTACAGGACGTATATATCTTACTTACAGGACGTATATATCTTACTTACAGGACGTATATATCTTACTTACAGGACGTATATATCTTACTTACAGGACGTATATATCTTACTTACAGGACGTATATATCTTACTTACAGGACGTATATATCTTACTTACAGGACGTATATATCTTACTTACAGGACGTATATATCTTACTTACAGGACGTATATATCTTACTTACAGGACGTATATATCTTACTTACAGGACGTATATATCTTACTTACAGGACGTATATATCTTACTTACAGGACGTATATATCTTACTTACAGGACGTATATATCTTACTTACAGGACGTATATATCTTACTTACAGGACGTATATATCTTACTTACAGGACGTATATATCTTACTTACAGGACGTATATATCTTACTTACAGGACGTATATATCTTACTTACAGGACGTATATATCTTACTTACAGGACGTATATATCTTACTTACAGGACGTATATATCTTACTTACAGGACGTATATATCTTACTTACAGGACGTATATATCTTACTTACAGGACGTATATATCTTACTTACAGGACGTATATATCTTACTTACAGGACGTATATATCTTACTTACAGGACGTATATATCTTACTTACAGGACGTATATATCTTACTTACAGGACGTATATATCTTACTTACAGGACGTATATATCTTACTTACAGGACGTATATATCTTACTTACAGGACGTATATATCTTACTTACAGGACGTATATATCTTACTTACAGGACGTATATATCTTACTTACAGGACGTATATATCTTACTTACAGGACGTATATATCTTACTTACAGGACGTATATATCTTACTTACAGGACGTATATATCTTACTTACAGGACGTATATATCTTACTTACAGGACGTATATATCTTACTTACAGGACGTATATATCTTACTTACAGGACGTATATATCTTACTTACAGGACGTATATATCTTACTTACAGGACGTATATATCTTACTTACAGGACGTATATATCTTACTTACAGGACGTATATATCTTACTTACAGGACGTATATATCTTACTTACAGGACGTATATATCTTACTTACAGGACGTATATATCTTACTTACAGGACGTATATATCTTACTTACAGGACGTATATATCTTACTTACAGGACGTATATATCTTACTTACAGGACGTATATATCTTACTTACAGGACGTATATATCTTACTTACAGGACGTATATATCTTACTTACAGGACGTATATATCTTACTTACAGGACGTATATATCTTACTTACAGGACGTATATATCTTACTTACAGGACGTATATATCTTACTTACAGGACGTATATATCTTACTTACAGGACGTATATATCTTACTTACAGGACGTATATATCTTACTTACAGGACGTATATATCTTACTTACAGGACGTATATATCTTACTTACAGGACGTATATATCTTACTTACAGGACGTATATATCTTACTTACAGGACGTATATATCTTACTTACAGGACGTATATATCTTACTTACAGGACGTATATATCTTACTTACAGGACGTATATATCTTACTTACAGGACGTATATATCTTACTTACAGGACGTATATATCTTACTTACAGGACGTATATATCTTACTTACAGGACGTATATATCTTACTTACAGGACGTATATATCTTACTTACAGGACGTATATATCTTACTTACAGGACGTATATATCTTACTTACAGGACGTATATATCTTACTTACAGGACGTATATATCTTACTTACAGGACGTATATATCTTACTTACAGGACGTATATATCTTACTTACAGGACGTATATATCTTACTTACAGGACGTATATATCTTACTTACAGGACGTATATATCTTACTTACAGGACGTATATATCTTACTTACAGGACGTATATATCTTACTTACAGGACGTATATATCTTACTTACAGGACGTATATATCTTACTTACAGGACGTATATATCTTACTTACAGGACGTATATATCTTACTTACAGGACGTATATATCTTACTTACAGGACGTATATATCTTACTTACAGGACGTATATATCTTACTTACAGGACGTATATATCTTACTTACAGGACGTATATATCTTACTTACAGGACGTAT